CATTGGGATTTAGGGACAGTGAATGCAAAATAGACTTAAAAGCGTATAAATAACCAGGGCAAGGCTAACTGCTAGGTTGCTACAATCAAGGTGCGAGTAAAATTCAATCTTTCTACACATAGTGATACTACTTAGCTTTATGGCTAGGTGGCATGAGCCGCCGCCCGATCTAAAGGGCAGGGACGAATACACCCTTCCATTCATCCATCTAATGTATTTGCTCTCGGTAGCGGCAGGGCTGCTTTTACCACTGGCGGTTGCTGAGTGTCTTACTAGAAATGAATCATGAACAAAAACTTTCTTTCACGACGTCTCCGGTGTCGCCTCAAAATTGAGAGAAAGGACAAAAAGTTCAGAGGATGAAGGTTGCCGCGAGAACCCTGCTTTCCCACTTCGCATACAAGCGTAGTGTTCTCGTGCTTTCTTTCACGGCTGCTGGCCACTTGGACGATGCGACCATTCGTAAAATTTGGTTAATCTTTTTTTTATTCGTGTTGTCTGAACAGGTGAGAGTTAAGCTGGCTGCCTTCTCAGTACGGTGAAACTCGATCTGCACAAACAAAACGAACTTTTTATTGCACATTTTGTATAAAAAGCAGACATACACGTAGTGTGAAAGTGTCAATCTATAAAAGCAGCTTTAGCTGACAACTGACATACGGATATTATGAGCAAACGTTGAACCCAGGATATCCGAACCAATGCAAAAATTATCAACAACTGTGGGTTAGGCACGTCGTATTTGTGGCAATCACGTTGTTTATGTGATCTACGATAAAATTAACTGCGTAAAGACTAGTCATATCGCCTACGGATCTGAATGTTTTCGCAGAATTGTTCTGTAGGTATTATCATTAAAAATAATGCATTCTTCTTACATGACGGCGCGCATAGTTTTCTTAACACGCGTGTACACAACAGCAACACGACACTGACACGACCCCGACGAAGACATGAGGCAGATGCAGACCATGAGCCGACAAGTCGCACGCCGACGGAGTCACCAAGCCCCCTGGTCACTCTAGGCCACGCCTGAAACGACAGCAGGCGGCCGTAGTGTAAATTGATGACAGACCAAAAACACTAGCAAAATGAATCGGCAGGCCTGTAGTCGGCGTGTCGTCAGGATATCTGTGGCTGAGCAAAAAGTTGCCCATGTCTTTGCTTCAAACGACCTTGAAGCCATGAGGAAATCTTGGAAGATATAATAATGCCCTTTCCGAGGCTTCCACGGCGTTAGAATAGACATCTCGCGCACCTGACGAAAGTCTTTTTTTCGCTTTCTGTTTGTGTCTTCGCGCTTTCGGCTGTCAATGCCATGGATTATGAAAGGGGCTACGCCGTGTAGCCGAAGAGGGCACAATGGCAGAGCAGGGAGCTTGACTAAAAAGGAGATGCAGGTGTGCAAGTTCAGTTGGTGTTGCTGCGTGTGCCTTCAGTGTGACTACAGAATTGGCTGACGGAAGACTGTGCGCACGACAAAATGCGTACAGTGTCGTTCAGAGACCATCGGCGGACTGTTTGTGTCATAGCAATGTCAATATGCCAATGACAAAACGAAAAACACTCAAAAAAACAGTTGACCAATGAAAATATTTGTCGCGTCTATCTAGTGTAAACGCGCCTTTACGGAACCTCAGTACCAAACGGCAGTGAAGTTCAAAGGTACGGAGAAGCTTCAAGGTACGGAGAGGCTTGTTCGGGCCTCCTCTATTTTTTTTTGTGTGAATGGCGAGAAAGAACGAAAACAAATGATTGAATTTAAACAATCAGAAGGTTTTTGAAAAAGAACGTCACTAAAAACAGTGTTTCGGCAAGTTGAGTCGTCTTCGTTAGGGCAACACTGTTGGCTTGAAGAAAAAAAGTTCGCATGGTCAAACGTTTGCTCTATCGAAATTCTCTAGTAATATTTAGATGCTTTTAGTCCATCACGTGTACTTCAGTGACACTATTAGATGTAAATACTCACAAATATTCCAACCGTGGCTGAAGGAATTTCATGAGCAGGAAGCAACCTAGAAGTATTTGACATCATTTGAACTACACGCCGAATGTAAAGAAACAAAAGTTATGTAGCTTAGCCAACTCATCTTCAAGCCTTTTAATAAACCGATTTTTCCGACAGGAGCTGGGTTTCCGTCTCCGTCAATTGGTCAAGCAACACGGCTCTTCTCTCAGGCAAGTCAGGCTTGCAGAAAACTGGGTTTACTCATATTTACCTATGCAAAATCAATACCTGCTCAAATAATGGATCCAAATTCTCGTGCTCACCCGTTGCTTTTAGGACACACTGGAAAACCTTCGCGGAACTAGAAATCTCCGGGTTAGCGCACCGCAGCACTCCAGAAAACATGTTTTGCCTGATTAAGCCATCTTCAACGATGCATGGTTCACTCGTTCGGCGTAGCTCACTGCAGCTTCTTGCTTGCTTGCTTGTTCCTTTCTTTTGTGGCTCTCACCCACTAAGGGGGATTGGCCAAGAAGCCGGTGGTTAATGCAAGTAAATACCTATAGATTTTCTAGATTAGGGGATAATGATTACTGTGTTTTGACTGTGAAATTAATTTGGCGCAATGTCAGAAAAAAATAGAAAAAAAGGGGGGGAGAAATAATAGAATTTCGTTGAATATCTGTGGTGGAATCGTTATATGAAATTCTCCTGAAAGTTGAATCATTGCAGTGTATCAGCTAAATAATAAAAGGTAGTGTGACTAGTAAAATTCGAGAGCTGATCGCTGACTCAGCAAGGTAATCTTGTGTTATATATGAATTCGCCGAGAGCCCGCAGATGTTCCTTTCGCTGTGTCCCAATAAAGTGGCCCCAAAAGACAAAATATTGGGAGTATTAAGTGATATTCCTAATTTTTTGAATAAAATTTTGAAGCAGTTTTTTCTTTGATTTTTGAATCGGTGACATGTGATAAGAAAATGGTCGATATGTTCAGGTTCGTTACAGCTTTAGCACAGAGGGGATGGCACCAGACCAGACCTGTTCAAGTAGAAATTGAGAGGTGGTACACGGTAACGTAGTTTTGTTCCCAAGACTTCCAATTTACGCGTGGAACACCATTTATTATTCCATGTGAAGTGCAGGTACGAGAAATCTGGATTCAGTATCATGGTGTTTGATGAGTTTTCAAGAAGGGAAAGTTTTCTAAACCTCGCTGCTGTTACATAAGCTGTAGGAGGCATGATTGGCACAATCGGAAGATCAAGAGATGTTCGCGCAAGTTTGTCAGCCATCTCGTTTATAAATATACTACGATGGCCTGGCAACCATATCATTTGCACTAGACGAATGTTTGCTGGGAATAATGATTTAAAAGTCTCTAGTACTGCTGATGTCGACGACGATGATAAGAATGAACACACGGAATACGAGTCAGTCACTATCACAGCTGTCGAATGAGTCGCAGGAAGTTTACTTCTGTTCTCCGCCCGCCACAGCTTGCCGTCTTTATCTTTCTCGTAGTTGACACGCCAACTTAGCCGGATATCTAAGCGCGATCGAACATATCACTGAGCGAGGAGCGAGAAGGAGCGGAGGCAAGCGCTACGAACGCAAGTCAATCACTTTCCCGCAGTTCGCCTGAAATAAAAGTAACAAAAGAAGGAATAAGAATTTAAAAAATTTTACAGAGGTATCGAATTTTTCTAATTTCTAAAAACATGTGAAAGCCCATAAAAGCAAACTCTCTTATCAACCTCACTCCGCTGAACCGGATCTAAGAATGCCCGGCAACTACTACGAGCATGCATGTTCCTTGAAACTGAAAGTAGCGATGAGTTTCTGGGGCCTGGCCCACGAATTTGTACACAACTGAACAAAAAAGTTACTTCATACGATTTCAGTCACGAGGCACCACACGATGACTCTCTCCCCTATGACCGCAAAGCGCATGTGAAGGCTAGGCGTTGGGAGAGAGCAGAAAAGGGCTAGAGGAGAGGGTCGCGAACAACTGGATCAGGCGCATGTGGCTGGCATTGATAAAATAGAGGAGGCGCTGATCACGGTGGAGCCGCTGCAGAACTAGCACTTTGAGGTGGTGGCGGCATAGCCTCCAGCCACAAAGAAGGAGCATAAAGAAACAAATGTGACAGATGAATGATATTAGAGAGGGACACATGTCTGTTGCGTCACCATGGGTAAGCGCTCAGAAGCACATGTGATGCAAGCAGCCCTGCCCCTCGTGTGGCGTCGCATCATGACCACTCTCTCAACTAAGGTGAACCGACGGCTCCCGTTGAAGAGTGCGCGTTTGCACTGGCACTGCCCGGTGGTCTCCATCACGGTGGCTTGCCCTTCTCTATCACCCAGCTTTCGCAGTGGCGTTCTCCAGCTGCTTTGTTTGAATCGGAGGAGAGAGTGTGAAGCACAAACACATAAGCTCGAAAAAAATCGGCAGGAGTCTTGACGAAAACCAGCCAGTTTGTCGAAATAGCAGTTCCGCACACACACCTTGTTTATGAATTTTCTATACTAATAAATTGAATAGTTTGTTGCTGATTTGCCGCGTACGGCTTTGAGCATCCATTAAATAGACAAATCTGTTTTACCATTGAATTCACTCAATCTATTTTCAAAGGACTTGTATTTAGAAGATATATTGTATATTTGGTAATGTTTGCGTGAAGTGTGCCCTGATTTTCGTATTTGCGATTGACGTTGTAGACCTTGATTATATTGCCGCGATATAGTTCCTGCACTCAAACAACGCACCCATCACCGCGCGCACAGGGACATACATGCGCGCCGTCTAGTGTTGCGCAGAGACAATGATGATAGCGCGAGAACCCAGCTGGCCCCGGCCGATGTGCGCCACACGCTTGGGGCACTTCTTGAAGAAGTAGAAGAAGGAGACATCTTTGGTGTTCTGCTGTAACGTGCCACGACCATAATCCCTTTGAGTTGTAGGCACAGGTTCGCTCTTAATAAATACGTTTTATAACATTCCGAGTCCTTCAACATCGTTACAATATGTCTCTTCACTGTTTTTCAGGTGGCGGCACATCCATCAGCGCAGCGTTAAAGGAGCTGAAAGAGAACATTGCTCGAATCAGACACAACCGGGCTCTTCAGAAGGAAAGAGCGGCAAAGTTCGCTGCATTTCTCATTACAGATGGTAAGAATATGGTACCAAGATCTCGTTTTTTAGTGTTCGCTGTCGATTCACCGCAATCAAGAGTTTTATTTGCACAAGTAGCGGTGCAGCCACTTTCAGTGACATAATTTAAAAAATGAACAAAATTATCGGTGACGCTGCACCACTGATGTCCAGGAATCCTGAACATGAACAACTAGTGCCATTTGTTGGGTTCGCTGCTAAACGGCAGCTTAACTCAATGAGAGACGACCTTTAAACATTTATTGCAGCCGAACGCTTGAGTATGCGCTAAAATCATTCCGTATATATAATCTGGGCGTCATTCTCTCGTAGTAAGAGAGAGTTCTCCTTATTCCCCTGAAATGTCTGGGTTCGAGAGCAACGTTTATGTGCTAAGAAAGGCTCCATTAGAGATAACTTTAAATTTTTTTATAAAAACAATTAGCCTTCATCTCCTTAACCCTTTCGACCCTGGAGATGTCAATTGCCACCACCGTACAACATTTCCCCTAGTATCTCGGAAACGTAACCAATACTACTCACTCATCGAGGCATAGTTCTTCAATGATCCCCACTGCAATTGACACCAATATTACGCCACGTTTGTGGAGGTGGCAGCCACAAAGAAGCAGCGCGACCTTGTAGCCGAGGCACGTAAGTTGTGCGGGTAAGCGCCATTTTCGGGACGACGTACCGAATCTGTTTCAGTGAGTGTTAGCCTGAGAGGTAAGACGTTGGTTTTCATTTTGTGTACACCATTGACTGGCAAGAAAAAAGAAGCTATTTTTTTTCCAATCACTGGACCCTAATTACCTAATTTAATGCCATGTTAATTAATTCAAAAGTGCTTGTACCAGTGGCTAAATTTGTTTGTGGTCTTCTGAGGTCCTAACTACGAGAAAAACGCGCACAATAAGTGTATCCGACCAAAATAAAAAATGCAGGCCTGAAAGGGTTAAATCGCTCAAGTTACACAATCTCGACAACTCCGACTTCATGCCTGTGAACTTTCGTTGACATCGGCAAAGTTCCTGTTGTTTGACAAGCAATTTTGTAAACACGCGTTTTGCAGTGAAACTTCCTGACAGGGGCACATGGACTTCGTAGCGCTTTCGCTTACTCCAAAACATAAAAGTTTTGCAGCTCTTTTATGTAAGGTTGTTTTTATTTAGGCTGCTCAATATGCGCAGTGTAGTTATACTCTGTAGATCTTACATTGATGATCAGTATTTACACGTCTCCAGTAAATTAGAGCAAAATATCAAAGATAAAAGATCAAAGTGGGCGCGGCGGCAATGCCGAAATGCATCGCTCAAACCGCTTCTTGTTTGCCGTCCAGGTTATGCTTGGCATGCTGCTTTCTTCAGCTGTACCGACATCGGGCAACTCATCAAAGGATTTTCAACGCCTACCCACGAACACTGGACATATCTGGCCTTATCATCGGGCATCGGATGGCGTTGGCTGTCACTTCCCAGCGAACAGCGCAACATCGTCCGAGACCATGACGTCACGGAGCTGCTACTTAAGAGACTGTCTTGGCGAGGAATCCTTCAGTGTCGTGGCAGCAATGCCAAAATGGATCGCTCAAACCCCTTCTTGTTTGCCGTCCAGGTTATGCTTGGCATGCTGCTTTTTTCAGCTGGACCGACATTGGGCAACTCATCAATGGATTTTCAACGCCTACCCACGAACACTGGACATACCTGGCCTTATCATCGGGCATCGGATGGCGTTGGCGGTCACTTCCCAGTGAACAGCAGAACATCTTCCGAGACCATGACGTCACGGAGCTGCTACTTAAGAGACTGTCTTGCCGAGGGATCCTTCAGTGGGCGCAGCGGCAATGCCAAAATGCATCACTCGAACCCCTTTTTGTTTGCCGTCCAGGTGAGAAAGCGATTTGGCAAATGCCTTCGTAGCAGTAATGTATGCCTGGTTTTGCTGCCGTGCCCACACCTTTTGCTTGAATGGTTCTGTGATTTATCGTCTTCCTTGCGTTTGTTGCTGCTGCTGGCGGGGGAGGTCGAGACTAATCCTGGGCCTCGTGACACTGTGCTTGAAGAACAGCTCAAAATAATTGCACAGGATATCCAGGAGATAAAGAACGAAAAAATGGTGACCAACCAAAAGCTTGCATTTATAGATAAACAGTTAGAAAAAATAGACAAAATGGAAAAGCAGGTACTTGAATGCGTGGAAAGGGTTGATAAACTAGAAAAAATGGTTGTATCTTTGACTAAAAAAATTGACGAGTTAGATAACAGAGGCCGTAGGTCTAACCTTGTTGTGTATGGTGTCAAGCAACTTGAAATTGAAACGCACCAGGATCTGCTTGACGCTGTTGAAAAAGGAAACTTTGAAGATAACATTGGAATAAAAACGGCTGGCATAGACAGAATTCACCGTCTTGGGCGATGGAAGGCTACTGGCAGTCCTAAGAACAGACCTGTGATCTTAAAGTTACTTGACTATCGGGATAAAGACAACGTACTTAAAAATTGCAAGAAGCTAAAAGGAACAAAATACTCAATTAGCGAGGATTTCTCGCCCGTAGTCAGAGAAATTAGAAGAAAGCTCTGGGAAAGAACAAAGGAACACCGAGACCAGAAAGACAAAGTTTGCTTGTGTTACGATAAAGTCAAAATTAATAATCGCCTGTACACCTGGGATGACCAGAGTAGCGACACAGTGGAAGTCGCAAAAAACGGAAGCAGGAAAAACGAACAAGCCGGGCGACCTCGAAACAGCCCTCGACGCTAGTTGTGCTTAACGTTAATGAGCGCAGCCTTATCAATAAAATCGAACACTTTGAAGCAAACCTGATTGCACTCGAACCCGACATTATTTGTGTGACTGGGACTTGGTTACATTATGATATTGGAAACTGTGAGGTGGCTCCACCGGGCTATTTCATTATCCGAAAAGTTAGACCAGCTAGAGGCGGTGGTGTTGCCTTGCTACTAAAACAAGGCATAAGTTACACAGTGATTCCAGACGTTTCGGGTGTAGAGGCGGTTTGGTGTAGGATTCAGCTAGGCAAGCATAATTCTGTGTTGGTGCTGTATATAGACCCCCCAAGCCGAAGCGTCATATCTTGATCAGCTTCTAGATTATATGCAAGATCACATGGCGGCGAGCGGCATAATAATGGGAGGAAATTTCAATCTCCCCGATCATAATTGGAACTTTCTATTCTCATCAAGGGTAACAAACAATATATTGCTAAGTCTTCTATTTACTTTCAACCTTACCCAAGTTGTTTCTCACCCTACTCGTGTGCAGGGCACTTCAAGCTCCATCTTAGACCTCGTTTTTTTAGTGATTTCTTTTTGAAAGGGAAATACAACGTCGAAGTCCTTGAAAGAATATCTGACCATGATATGGTTTTGTGTACGCTAACACTTCCAGAAAAGGTTGCTCAACGTGGTACTAGAAAGTCCGTATACGCCTTTAACAGATCAGATGACGATGCCATTATGACCTACCTAGCCCATGAGTACTACAACTTCTATGAACTGGTCTCAGACGGCTCGGCTGGCTTAGACGAGATTTGGCTCTTGTTCAAAGCACATGCTATGCACTGCTTGAGGCAATATATCCTACAAATTCAAGAGCACTAACAAGTACAACCCATGGATCACGCGCGATGTAATTCACATAAAACGAAGAATAAAAAGTTTGAGTAAATCTAATCAGGTCCTCCCGAACCCGGACTTCCACCAATAAAAAATAAATTCATCAAACAGGCTGCTAAAAGAAGAAACAAAGTTAGCAAGGCAGCACTACTGCAGTACAATGCTTAGCAACTTTATCCAACATTCACCCCAAAATTTCTGACGATATATTAGACGTAAATAAAGCAGTGCAAAGGCACTGTCACCCAAGGAAGAAAAGCAACATCAAGAAACGTTTAACGTTTTTTCCATTCCGTATATGCTCCTGTCAATGGCATTGCGCATGCCTACAGGACAAAAAATATAGAGAGAAACGAGACGCTAAGTGCACCAGTCATAACCGAAGCAGGCGTGCTTTCACTCCTATTGAAGTTAGACGATAGGAAGTCGACCTGCCCAGACGGAATCCCGAACTGCTTCCTGAAACGCTACGCCGAACCCGTAAGCAAATACTTCTGTCTTCTTTACAACAAGTCAGTTTCAGAACAATGCCTGCTAGCCGAATGGAATATGGCAAAAATAGTGCCTGTCTACAAATCTGGCAATCCTTCTTCTCCGTCTAATTATAGGCCTATTTCTCTCAAATGTACTTGCTGAAAAATTTTAAAGCATATTATACTAAAATATATTACTCAGTTCATCAAGGAAAACAATCTTCTCCATCCCCATCAACATGGCTTCAGGGCTGGTCTCTCTACCGTTACCCAACTTGTAGAAATCCTGCATGATCTCGCTAAAGGATTAAACGATCAGACACAAATAGACATAATTCTACTAGACTTTTCAAAGGCATTTGACCGTGTCTGCCATGCCAAGCTTCTTCAAAAACTCAGACATATTTTAGGGGATGGGCCAATCTCACGCTGGATTAAGTGCTATATAACTGACCGCCGCCAATTTCTCAAGTTAGGCGCCAGCACTTCTGAAGTTATGCCGGTGCTTTCTGGAATACCTCAGGGATCAGTTTTGGCTCCTATCCTGTTTATTTTGTTTATAAACGACATTACTTGTAGGGTTCAATTCAAAATTAGGTTATTTGCAGATGACTGCGTTCTGTAGAAAGAAATACAAAGCCAGCAAGATGAAATAAGTTTGAACAATGATTTCGCCTTGCTAGCACAATGGTGCGAGAGTTGGCAAATGGTCATCGACTTCGATAAAACAGTTGCAATGACAGTTACAAAAAAATCCAAACTCACTTTACCGTATGGCTATGATAGCATCATTCTTAAAACAGCCACTCAGTACAAGTACTTGGGCGTCGTCATATCGTCAAATCTCGGATGGTCGGCACATGTAGATCACGTGACTGGCAAAGCGATGCGAAAGCTAATGTTTTTA